CATGACGTGATTGGGTTTTGAGAGTTTCTGTGCATTTATTCAAGAGACAACAGAAAATGAATTCAAACTAACCTGGCATTTTGAAATCAGTTTTAATTTCGATTTAAATAAGTCTCATATTGTTTAAGAATTGGGTAGAAATTTTTTAGCTTTTAAAATCCATTTAAACACATTCTGCCTTAAATACATATTTAATTAACACTCTTGTTTACAGTTATACAGTTATATACAGTTAATAATCCAGTTTTAATATAATTACAACAATACTCTGATTAAGAGTCTACTACTGTATGTAAACAGCCATTTTAAAGTTTAAGGTCATAATCGAACTAAACCGTAATCAGATTAAGACATGTGAAGTACAGTATGCCTATTTTAGTTGCATTATTGAGGTGCAGTACAGACATGTAAACATTGCAATCAAACTAGTGGCATCATGTAGGATTTTCGCAGCATTTTGTGACAGGATAGTCTATACACACATGCCTGTTTGACATTATTCTCTGCACCTACAGAGTCAGTGAAGGACCACAGACACGCACATCGTGACATGAGGACTTTTTTCCCCATACAGCGTGCAGCATCAAATCCCATTAAAACAAAGCTCTTCCAGCAGTTCATACTCGCATTCAGTTCATCAAACTATATGTAACTCATGTAAACACCTTAATCATATCATTGTCCTAATCATATAAATGGAAATAATATTGTCTCGATAAGTCGGGGGGAAAAAATGACTGAACTGGCTGTCTCACTGTCTCTCCACTCCCCCTATACACCCCTGGTGACCCATTCCCCCCCCCCCATACCTGGTGTGTGGTGAGCACACTGGCGCCGCTTTTCTGTGGCTGCCGTCGCATCATCCAACTGGATGCTACACACTGGTGGTGGTGTGAAGAGACCACCCTTAACAACCCCCCAACCCCCCTCCCACCCACCACACTCATGCTTGTGAAGCGCTTTAGGTGTATGGCCATACACATGCGCTCTATAAATACACATTGCATTACAAATATGTAATATATATATAATGTGTAATGCTCAAAACTTTTATACACTGTTTTCACCTGATCTGATTGACCAAATTGCCTCTCAAAACCGGGAGTAAACAATATCTGTAAAGTTTTGTTTTTTTTAAAGTAAATGTAATCCAGGTTATCTTGCTTCTCGTTTTTCACTGCTCATATTTTACCTGCAGGTAACAAAAAACTAAAATCCTGGGTTATCATATGCTGGAGTTTCACACTGCACAATTTGTCATTTATTGAATGAACCCTTGTGACCTTTCATAAGTGAAACACAGACGGGTCCTTCTGCAATATAAAGGTAAGAATAAACCAACCTTTACTTCTCTCAAATTGATGTTTTTCTCTCAGATGCTGAAATGCTCTTTATATACTAGGTATGTGAATACGAAGCATGGGATTGGCTGTCTGTTGGTATGTATGCAGCTTTAACATTATTAAATGTTAACTTATACTGCACTGTATGTTTGGTACCTTTAAAAGTGCTTTCAATAAGTGGCTCTTAAAATGACGATAACCTGGGGTTAAGTGCAGTCTTCCTATCTTAAATCATTTGTAAAAACTATAAGAGCGAGCACGCTTCTCTTCAAACGCTCCATTTGACGTGTCATGTCTGTAGCTCAAATGGGGCTGCAAGAGTTACACCCTAAAGTTTTATACATAGGGTTGGCAGTTTATTGAAATCCCTAACCTTTAGTTTGAGCAATAGTTATAGTGATACTTGCCTTAGCAAGCAGAGCTAATGATAGATTGAACAGAATGAAGAGACTCTTTTCTGCTGACGCTGACCTTTTTTTGAAAAACATATCAACAAATTACAGACAAACCTGTGCTGGGATTTTACCTGCACTGTAAATCAGTGTCTAGAAGTGATCTTGCTGAAATTAACAGGCTTGTTAAGAGTTCAACAACTAATTACAAGGCCATAATTAAGCACACACACACACATATATATACAGTGCAGTAGAAAGAACCAGACATGCAAGAGCCATTACAAGCTCTGACAGGTTTCTAGAGGATGATCTTACCTGAAGCTTTAAAAAACATCCTTGGATGAATGGCTGAATGTCTGTCTGTCCCGATCGATCAATGCTGAACATCGAGAAACTGCTGAAATTACATTATTTCAGCAAATAAGACAAGCTAGCAGTTATGTTATATATAGGTAATGAATGGAGCAATTCTGAGAAGGGTTTTGGAAGTGATTCAGAGCCCAAGGACTGGAGCTGGGTTTGATTATGTACACGAGTGAGCGCGTCCTAGGATGTTTGTCAGATAAAAAGCTACATCACGTTTTTTCAGCTCGTCTCAGTCGTGGCCATTTTGACATGCTTACATTTTGCCTGCATTTGATCCGCCACTGCAGACGTGAGGGAGCGGGTTCAAAGGCCTCGCATTCCCATGACAACCACAGTGTCAGTCAAGTCGTTCCATAACCCGTGCGGGATGAAACTTTAGAACGTCCCTTATAATACCTTCATCCCTCAGTGTTGTTGCAACAATTGGGATGGGAAAAGAGCTCAGCAGATTGAGATGTTATCGATAGTTTTGTCAGAATCTTTCACAATGGTTGCCAGCAGAAAGCTCCAGATGTCAGAGGTGGGCACGCAGCGGTAGATCAGGCCCATATGTGCAGAATGTGTGTTCTGGAGAAACGGAGTCGGGTCTGACCCGCCGGCCCCTTCACGCTCGTTAAAGCAATATCTTAACATGTGGAAACCCGATACGCCTCTACTGCGTGTTTGTCCTGCATTGTCATCTACCGTTGGTTCAGTCGCTCCATATGTGAGCCGGGACTGCAGAGCTCAGAGCCAAATGCATGATTGTCGTATTTATGCATTTGTAGAGCTGTGCAGCATGAACGTTTCAGGAATCAAATTACAGCGCTTTGGTGTTCAGGACTGTTACATTTTTATTACTGTTTTATAAATGTTGCAGTGACGCATAGTGTATGCGATTTCATTTAATGCATTGTGGATTTATGTAAAATGTGAAATACGACTGTAGTTTGTCCTGGACAATTTTAGACTTAATATTAACACAGGCTCATTCTGAAAAATACCCCTATATACGTTTCTGGAGATCGCAGACGGATTTCGCCTTTAAAACGAACGCTACGGATCAGTATGAAGTTGTTCCTTTTCGCGATTTCCAGCTGACCGCTTACCTGCATGTGGACGGCTTTTCCGCTGTTACCAGTTTGTAGCTCGACACATACGTCGGCGGACTTGAGATGCAGAGCGTAGTTGACGGCAATGACAGGGTTCGAGTCCGGTAAAGAACAGTTCCAGAAAAGGTGAAAGACAAATAACAGAAGGCAAGAAATATTATGAACAACTAAATAACAGCGTGAGAATGTGGTAAAATCTGAAAACGTGGTAAAAAATCAGGCGAGGGGTTTTGTTTTTCTGCATTGCTTTTCAAAACACTGCGGTTGTGTTTAGAGAGGGTGGTGGGCGGGTCAATCTGTACTTTTGAAAACACTATTGGTTGGGTTTAGGGAAGAGGGGCGGGGGTGTTGGTCAGCCGGTCAAAAGTGGCCTCTGGTGGACTTATGTGAGAACAGCAAGTGCGAATGACACTCACGAGAGAAAAAAAAAAGCATCCACAGCTGCCTCTGTCAGATTTGCTAATACAAAAACTACAAATAAACTTGGCACCTGGGATGTATTTTGCTCTCTTCAGAAATGTATATATGGGGAATGTAATTGGAATGAGCCTGGGTTGCTTATCTACTTTTTAAAGTACTTTTTTCTGGTGGGAAATCGAGTAATTGCTGCAAATAATAAGGATGATAATGATAATAATAGAAATAATAATAATAACAGACTTCACTTAACAGAACAATATTTAAATTATATAAATTTTTCAAAATCTTTTATCAGTAATTTATGAAATCTTAACTAAATAAAATCATAATTTTCTACCAGTATGTCTTCTGTTTGGTGAAGTAAACAACACTCAAAAATGCTGAGATCCACACAATTCCTTCATGTTGTCCCAACACAAATCGATTAAGTTAATTTAATTGTTGTACAAATTTAAGTGGATTGAACATAAAAAAGTTAAGTTGTCCCCCAAAAAACTTAAGAATTGTGTTGTTTAACTCTATTCAATATTAAATAAGTAGTTTCAACAAGCAGCAAAGGTATTTTTTTGAGTGAATAGCACATAAACTTTCTTGGAAAAGCCTTAAAAAGAGTAAAGATTTAGTTTCCAATGCATCAAAGTAAATCTATCTATCTATCTATCTATCTATCTATCTATCTATCTATCTATCTATCTATCTATCTATCTATCTATCTATCTATCTATCTATCTATCTATCTATCTATCTCTTTTTAAATCAGGATATGGGAATGATTTCTGAAAGATGATTTTGACAATGACGTTTTACACCAGAAAAAAATATGTATGCAAAATTGTTGCAAACAATTTGTATGTGGTGACATTGACAATTTAAAATTGGCAATGTTTAACTCAATCTGTTTGTTTAAATTCAGCCTGAATAAATTGTTTACTACAACTTAACCTAAAAAATAGAGGAATCACCAAAGAAATCATCATTAAAAAAAATCAGTTGCTGAAAATTCAGTAGTGACATTAGAGAAACTATTGCAGTATTTTATCAAATAAATGCAGATCAGAAACTCATGCAAACCATAGTAAAAAAAGTCTGAATTATTCCACACTCTTGACCTTTACTGAGATAGATGATATCTACCCATGCGTGTGTTTTGAATAAAGTGAATCAATCTTTCAAAACTCTGGACAAGTTTTGATTGAGTTTCCAAAGTATACCCAGGCCTCTGCCACAATAAAGATCATCTCTCTTATAAAAACTAATTACTACAACTTTATTGGCTGACTAATAGGAGCAGCGGTCGGGACACTAGTCCAAGTGTTCGTCAAATGGGAACGCGCTGTTGGAGGACTGTGGTTTCTCTCCCTCCCCTGTTTGGAAGCTGGAGAGATGGGGAGGGCAGGCCCATGAGTAGGCAATGCACAAACTAGTCAAAACTCAGTCTCTCACCCCCCTGCCTGCGGACTGAAGCAGTCGCTGGAGTTTCTTCGACGTCTGCTTTTAGTGCTTTCTGTAAGCACCGGGGTTTTAGGTCAAGAGCCCGAGCAGCCTCTGGACAGAAAAGAGGGGGGGGAAGTTTGAAAACATTTCCAGGTATCCTGCGCAAAACGAAGGATTTAATGCTGAACTTCTGAAAGTTGTGAATGCATGAGGTGGACTGATTGACTCCAGACTGCTTTTGTCTACTAATTTCTCTAATAAGCAGCAAAAGGCTTTAGTCGCTCCGGTTGCGCTCCCCACGCGCAGCGCGTTTGTTTGCGCTCTTGTCAAACTTATCGAAAGTTTAATTGACACCTGTTGCGTGACGCCGTCATACACTGAAGCGCGGTACGTTTATCAAAACTTTCAACCGTTTTCACCGAGTGACTTTCGCGGAGCCTTTTTTATTCTCACTATGGACAGCGCCGGACTGTTTTGGAGTATGTCTTTGGTTTTCTAAGTGAATGAAACACTGGAAACTCTAGTGCCAAGTTAAATTGTTCGGAGGTGGAATTGTCTAATATTTTCTGAAGTTACTCCTACTTTGTATGCGCTTCACAAGAACATCACGCAGAGCCAGAAGACCAGGTTCAGCTGTCAGGACTTCAGCTCTGGAACTTTTTTGGAGACGGATAGATCGACATCTGCTAACAAGTAAGCTAGTTACTATCAAGCCTCTCACAGTTGTATTGTTTGGAAGTGCTGTTTGTTTCTGTTGCCTTGAGCTTTCGGCTGATTCAGAACATGCCTTGAGAAAAGTTTGTACCGGCCAGGCTTCATCTCAAGGTTCCTAAAAAAATATGTTTTTGCCTTAGGCATGGGCCAAAGAGGAGTGAGTTGTAGCACCATACGTTTGAGCAATTGGAAATGAGCTACATGAGTAAAAATTGCTGTCTGACATGTTCACCACTTTACAGAGGTGACAGCACAGGTTGTAAGACTTTTTAAATCTAACTTATTTTCCCGAAACACATCTGGAGTTACAGTTTGCGATTATGTTGACATATATTAAATGATAAATGGGTTATAATGTGAATCAGCAGTTCCTCGTTTAACATTACAATCTTTAATACGTGTTTTAGTTCAAACAAAAAGAGCCTGCATTTGACACAGCGACTAACAGTCGCACAATTATGCTTAATGCATCTCTTCATTTAAAGAATTACTTATAAAATAAATTTAGACGTTTAGTTTTTCTCTTTTGATTAAAAATGCACAGAAGTAATTAATAGTATTTTGTTACAACTTAACTGAGCCTATACTACAAATCTTTTCTGCATATAATATGCGTGCTTTTTATTATTAGTGTTTTTACTAGTGTTTGTACGCGCAACTCTCCCCTTTCTTTGTGCTTGATATTTGTTTACTTAGTTGAAGTATAAATTATAGCTTTATGAAGTTTTTATATGTGTAAAACTCATGTAGGCCTATTGGATATCTTTATAAAGGCACATAGCGCATAAAATCCCGCAGTTACAGATGCTTAAATCGCTCCCCCGTTCTCCGTTATGCTACTATCGGGTTTTATTTATCCACTTAGGCTACAACATAATCGTTGACACTCATATCCTGTTAATTTTTTAATGGCCCAATGTTGACTTGTTGAAAGTGACTCACTCTTTGCACAGTTCATTTTAGACTGTGTTGCTAAAATAATTAGAATCACTCACCAGTCTTCAGTCTCGATGGATGTGGGCACATCTTTCAAACTGAGCTCAAATGAATCTGAAATGATTTTTATCTGGATCTGGCCGAGATTTCCTTGCGAAAATACTTCATGTAATGTGTTGAAGCTGAAAAATGATTGGCAGCTGCTGACGTTTGGTGCAGCTTTTAAATAAGCCATCTGCAGTGTGTCAATTAAAAAGAATTCTCCTGCTTTTGAAAAGCACCAGTGTCCAAATTGTGGGCGTTTGAGGCAGCCAGACTCTCAATATCAAAGCTTAAAGCGTGAAGCCAAGTTTTTATTTTTTTTTCTTTAACAACAACTGTTATGTGTTTTCAAACATTTCAGTAACCCTAGAAATTACATTACAAGTGTGTGTCACCAAAGCAACGAAAGCATAAGAACTGTCATTACATTTTTCTATTATATATTTGCATTTAAGAAATACATGGCAAAACTATTAATTGTTTTTAGGATACTTCGTTAACACTGAACAAATTAAGATTGTCACATTAAACAAACTCCAATCGAAAATGCTGTAGGTTAGAAATACCTTTACAGTAATATACGCTGCAGAGTGATTTAAGTGAATAAGAAAATTTGTGCTTTACACTTATCTCTCGATGACAAAATAAACCAAGCAAAAATGAGAGTGGCGAAAAAACAGCTGTTAAGAAAGCATCTTATCATAATGATAAGCTCGAATTAAAGCCTCTCTTTGCTTGACACATAAACAAACTAGATACCTATAGACCATTTTGATGGATGTAAACAATAACAATTGTCCTAATCTATTTCCAGTTTTATATTTTTAAATAATAAAATCCAAAAGGGTTCACATGTTGATTTTTAAAAAAAAAATATTATGACAGCTTTGTTAATATTTGTTATGACTAAATCACCTCTTGTTACAGTTCTGAAATAGTTTGACTACAGGAACTGTTCATGGACTAATGATATTGCCATGCTGGAATGGTCTATGTTTTACATTATCTTGAAAATTATAAGCTCTTGTTATGTTAATGTAAGAAAGGTTCTTGAAAGTGCACAGAAACGTCACATAATTATGATTTCCCCCAGAATTAAAAACAAAATCAGTCAGGTCTTCTTAAACAACCTGGGAAATTTTGGAAGTTTTCAAGAAGTTAGTTGAAGGTTGTTCATTCATAGACATGAAAAAATATATTAGTTTCCTATATATATGTAAATCTTACATATAGCCAATTAAAAAAAAAAAAAAAAACTGATGAGCTGAAATGTAGAGTTGCACAATATATCGTTTCAGCATCGATATCGCAATGTGAGCATTCGTAGGCACATCGTGAGTATATGCAATGTTTCGTCCAGATTAAAAGTGACTGTGTGAGGCTTTTAAAAGCATTCATGCAAACGAAAATATTCCACTTATAACTCTAAAAAATCAGTAAAGATTAATGTTATTCAATTGTTTATAAAACAAAGGCAATACAGTATTATTTTACGTTTGATTATTTAGTTACTTTTGTTCGTACACCTGGGAAAACAATGTAATGCTGTTTATTTAATTTGTATATTTTTCTTCATTGAATTAATTAATGCTTATAGATTGTTCATTATAATTTATGTAGTCCCCTGCAGAATCATCTCAATCGATCTAAAATTATAGACTTTTTCCAAATAGTTATTTAACTCATCTAGTCAAATTGCATTTATAACACAATGTATATCACAGAATAAAAAATATATCACAATGTATGATTTGTCCAATATTGTGCAGCCCTACTACAATGTCTCATCTAATTTCAGTGTTCTAATTAATAATTGGGCTATTGAAATAATATAATTCTGTTTATTAATAAGTAATATTTCCCCCTCTGAAGTGTTTAGTTTGGATATAGGTTAGAATTTTTACATTTCCTTGGGAAAGGACATTTGCAAATCTCAAAAGTAAAACTAATAACTGTCCCAAAGATTTGTGTTGTTTAAAGAATTTAAAGAATCTATTTACAGGATTTTTGCTTCACATATTTTTTTTTACAACAGAATTGTACACTTTTTAACTTTAAATAATTGTTTTACAACTTGCACAGACCTTTTAACTGGCCATGGACATTATGGTCTAGTCAATTTTTCTCAGAGTTACCAAACATTATGCAAGCCGCTCAGCGCTTCTGTTTTGTTTCATTATTATGAATATTTCTTGTTTTGCCCTCTCAGCTGTATTTGAATTTCTGTGTGTTTGTGTAATGTAAATCTACCTTTTCAGTGCCTCTGGAACGATAAGAAGATTCTTGTCTGCTCGGGCCAAAATAGTTTCTAACCGCAAAAATATAAACAGGTGTCGTTTAACCAAACACGTGAAGATTTAGATGTACTCCGAGGCTCTCTTTTATCAGCTCCAACCGAAGAACAGACAGTGGGAAGCAATATCTCCTGTCGTGTGTATAAACGCTGGCTGCGGGTTTCATTCCCCTATGCTGGCCATATAATTCATGTGTTTGTGTTTTACCTTTTCTTCCTGCCAGAGACTGTATTTGTGCAGGTTTAATTGACATGCGGGTCGTGCATTAAACGCATTACCCAGATGTGCCGATACATAAAGGGATAGTTCACGCAAAAATTAAAATTACCTGGTCATTTATTCTGCCCCATGTGATATTAAACCTTTATGAGTTGCTTCTGTTGAACACATTTTGAAAAATGCTGTTTGCTGGCACCCTCTGATGTCCATATAGAATAAAAATCAATATGTACATCAATGAGTGAACTATCCCTTTAAGTAACGTACTACTCTCCAACCACTCTTGGGTCTATTGCAGTTTTTAACTAAGGTCAAGAGGGTCTTGTACTGTTTGGTAACTTGCATCCCATTAAGCCATCTCGCTTTTAAGATCGTAAAACTCCCTTGTTTTATTCAGGATAGTCCTGGGTAAAGAGAGAGAAACGAGGCATCCATGTTTTATTTGATTATTCCCATTTGTTCTGCTGTGACGTGGTGATTTGAATCTAAAACTGTGTTACCCGTGGTGCGGTAAACATCTCGAGGATGTGTATGGAAGTACGTTTGTTGAGGTTTTCCTTTTGTTAATGAGTTTTAAAAGAGTTTGTGGCCGCGTTCTTTGATCACGCAGCCCTGAAGCCTCGTTTTTGAAGCGAAAGGGCTCGGATATCTGATGGAGAGCTCGCTGTTTAGCTTTCAGATGTTTTTCGCCTCCCTCCTATACCTCAACCCAGGGTTTTCCCCTTTTCTCCTTCATACACGTCTATCTGTTTTTCTGCGGTATTTGGAATGTGACGGGGCCCGGCTTGATTAAGACATTGATTCATTTAATGAAATGTTTGAGTTCTGGAGTGGAATGAGAAGCTGCAGACACCAGTCGTGTTTCTGTGGCCAAAGCTCTGGGAAACCTCTCAAAAGCTGATTCAGAGAGATAAAACCGTCAACAGCCCACCTGCACAAGCCAACCTGCCTCTCTTGCCTGAGCACGCGCTCCTCACACACACATATATACATCCCACATCATCCACTGCACACACTCTTTGGCTCTCTGTCTGTTTTTCTCTTTCTCTCTCACTTACCTTTCCTTCGATCTCAGGAAAATGCATGCGCACAATCAGACCTCCACACACACACTTTGAGTGCATCCTTTCCTTCAAACAGAACAGCATGAACCAGATGTCTCTCTAAAGTGTGACGATACTCCCCGCCAGGCCCTGCAGTCCATAGGCTTTTAAGTGCAAATAGTAGCACCCCCTGCTCACAGCCGCTTGTGTTGGCCTCTGACTCGATCATGTAAGCTTTCTGTGAGTGATTTAGAGACTGATAAAGGTGCCCACTTGCCTGGCCTGAGTTTGATTTGTCTGGTGTCGACGTTTGCATTTGACCCTCATGCTAAGAAATAGATGGTGCGCTGATGTGTGATGCCTGAGATCAAACACGCTGGCGGATCTTGTCTTTTGGGGAGAACAATCGGATTATGCCTGTTTCTTACAGATGCAAAGGGGCAGA